CAGAGTCACCATGGACTAGGGTTAATTAAAATTCTGTAAAATGTGATAATAATAGTTTATTTCTTTACTGTTATTAGAAAAGAATATCTATAAGACTGATATTTGGAGATATCATGTCACTAAGGAAAAAAAAGCTTATTTGTGATCTAGCTATCCTGGTAAGAGAATTTATGTCAAAATTGAAACTTTTCATAATATAAATCAATAATAATGATTTGACACGTTTTTCTAACATGAATGAATATGCAAAAGATTTTAATTATAATTGACAGAATTATGTAAAATGACTATGAAAGTATGAGAAAAGCTTTGTTGATATAGATAAATTGAGAGTTGTTTTTTGACCTATGCAATATCCCTTTGAATTCAATGTTAATAATACTGAGTTGACACAGATTAGTGAATTTGTTTAACTTAGATGTAGCTTTAAAATTGGCATGCTTTTGCATAAAAGCCAAATTAATTATTTGTCACTGTGGATGCAAATATTTAGGAAAGTGACTCTTTGGTACCTGATTCAGTGACTAAAACACTCTCAAGTTTCTTTGGAACAACTTAGGTATGTAAATCTACCTTTTTTTAAAAACTCGACCCCCAACACGGGGCTCAAATTCACAACCTCAAGATCGAGAGTTGCATGCTATACCGACTGAGCCAACCAGGAGCCCCTGTAAATCTACTTTTTTAAACTGTAAATTTTATGACATCTAAACACAGGTCAAGTATTTCCAGTGACTACTTGGCTTCCAAATTGGGAGATATGTTGTAAGTGTAAATACACACCAGATTTTGAGGACTTAGTATGAAAAGAAATGGAAAATATCTCATTATTTCATTAATAACTTTTTACATTGATTGTATGTTGAAATGATAACACTTTAGATATACGATGGATTGAGTAAAATATATTACTATTATGTATTAATTTCACCCATGTCTTCTGTCTTCTTTTGATGTGGTTACTAGAAAAACTTAAATTATATTTGTGGCTTGCATTATATTTCACTGCACAGTGTGGTTCTAGTATGTTAACGACCCACTAACAAGCACACTAAAAGGTCAGTGTTGGGGGGCACAGCTCTTAGAAAAATGCAGAACAATTTCTTTTTGTCATTAACTTCCAATGGGAAATGCTGCACATTTAAAAAATGTGAGTGTAGTACAGCATAGTAAATAAATATATGCAATGGGATTAATATGTATACTGACACATTTCAGAGTTGTGGAAAGACAAGTGAGAAGATGTGATTCATGTGATTCAATCCAAATGCATCTGGCATTCACGTGTGTTGTAAACTAAAGAGAATTTTATATACAACAAGTGACAGTAATTCAAACTGAAATAGTTAGTCTTTTTAAATTCATGTGCAAGATGTGGAGCACTGTCACATGACAGGTCTTTGCAAAAAGAGAAGAGAAACTTCTTTCTAAATATATGCACTGGCTAAGTGATTATTTACCTCTAATGATTCCCATTTGGTAAAATACAAATTTTGTAAAACAAGTTTAAGGCCCATCTGTTTAGTTAGAAATTCGCCTTTAAACCTTCAAATCAGCTACCAAATAGTAAATAATTGGTATCTTCTTATTCCGTATTTGCTTTAAAGCAAGAGAATGAAACATAGGTCACATTTGGAAATAAAACAGGGAAAAGGCCAAATGAAAGCATTATTTTCAGCATTTGTCTTCTACAGGCATCAAAAACAAGTAGTGTTTCCTTGGGCATAGAAATCTTATCTGTTAGCTACCTCGAAGTTTCCAAACCAAACTACTTCTTAAAGATCTTTTCATTAAAGCTTTAACGTATTTTTATGTGTCAAGCATACTCCAGAATAATTTGGTTTGTTTTTTAATACATGTGATTCTTTTGTAAAATATAAAATGGAGATTCTTAGTTTAAATTTAATAATGTTTCTAGATCCAAGAATAACTAAATTATTTTTGTTTAGTGAATACATATCTGTAAAAATAACTTTGGCAAATTTTCTCATAGAAATTGGTATATAAATAAAAATAAATAACAGTCATATTAAAATGTATCATTAACTATGAAAAACATCATAAAATAGAGTAGAAAACTGGTAAAGAATATGAGTAAAATAATATTTCAAAACTTAAAGCAAGGTTTCTCAACCTCAGCACTATCTATACTTTGGTCTGGATAATTCTTCGTTGCGGGGGTTGTCTTGTGCATTATAGGATGCATAATAGCATATCTGGCCTCTACGCACTAGATGTCAATAGCATCCCTTTCCCCTGTTGTGACAACCACAAATATATCCAAGCATCACCAGGTGTCACTTGGGGAGCAACGTCACTCCACTAGAGAATCACTGATTTAAAGGAAAGTCATAACAATTAGGGGCAACTAATACTGTTATTTTATAACCTCTGGTATAAATAACAATAAGAATATTTCACAACTGATTGACTTCTATGAGGAGCTGGGTTTTTATTTTGTTAGTATATATTCAGGAATATTAGTAAATTATTATGTATGTTGATATACGTATATATCAGGAAAAGTCAAGGTGGATAACATGGACTTTCCTTAGCCCAGACGAGCTACGGAGCCTTCTCAGGGTGCATGCATGTAAGCCCTTATGTGGGCGGGAGGATGAGTCATATCCTGTTGAACTTGGGTCAGGAGGGTAAATCAATTAAATGATATTGCTAAAGGACAGGGAGGCCTTGGCCTCCAAGTAGTCTGAGGCCTCTAACCTCCTGCTACACGTTCAGACTCTCTGGTTGCACTCTCTCTCTTCTTGTCAATAGGAGTGCCAGTGTGAGAAGTATTCGTTTAAGGCATTCACTTGGAGAGAGGGAAGAGATTATGAACTAGGAATGTTAATTTATTAATGTTTCTCAATGTACACTCTTCCTCTATTTGCAACATTCTTTCTTTTAACCAGATTCTCCAACTTCCTTCCTGGAAAAATATAAAAAAGTTCTGAGAAGGAGAAAGATGGGGCTGGTCTAGGAAAGCATGACAGAGAAAGTCAGTCATGCTGCCAAGAGAGGGAAACAGAGGCTCTTTCTAGAATACAGGGTAAGAGTAGCCATTTCTATTTTACAAGTGAGCCAAAGAAGCAAAAGCTGAACCTCAGCCTATAAAAGAGGATGTTCTTGGATGCTGTAATAGGTCCAAACAAAATTCTTTTGGCGAGATTAAAAGGAACTGACGTTAGTGAAGAAGCTGAGCCTCACCGAAGCATACAAGCAGACTTCATAACTGGGCTCACTCATGAAATATGTTTAGGGCAAACTAAAGAGAACAGAACAGAAAATAGATTTCTGGGGACCAGAACCAAAAAGACCTTGAAAAAGGACAAAGAGGACCAACTCCAGTCTGTGCTGGATGACCTAAAGCCCAGGGCAGAAAATGTGGGAACGACCCACAAACACACTCTACTTACTTATTGATTGTGATCCTGGTGCAGACTCTGGCAGTTCAAAGACAGCTGCAGAATGTCTTGAAATAAACGCCAGAGGCATGACCAGTTGTCCCAGGCCCAGGGAGATGGAAAAAGAAGCCCCTGAGAGAAAAATCTCCTCAGAAGCAGAGGTCCTGCAAGCCCCTCCGAAGGGACCAAGTAGGCTGATGGGCAAACTGAACACACGGAAGCCACCTGACAGCCTCTCGAGTAGAAGAGTAAGGGCTAGTCTTACCTACGTTATAGCAAAGCTGGAGAAAACACCATCAGTACCTCCCCTATTTTTAGACAATTTGTGGCTTGTTCAGCGCTTAGGATTTGTGGTTTAGCTTGCTTTGTTTGTTTACATCTATATTCCGATTTGTATTAGAATAACACCCCCCTCCCCACATGAAGCTGGATTTAGGGATGGAGGAGGTGTCCTTCTCTTAGAAACGCCATGGAAGCAGAGAAGCTGGGAGCCTTGTGTTTGGCCCCCTACAGACATGGAGAAAGAGGAACATGGAGGAGTAAATGTTGGCAGAGAAAGAAATAAAAGAACTAATCCCATATATAACGCGGCGGGATGGGAGGATGAGGAGTTGGCGCAAGACGAAAAAATGACCCTGGGAGTTTAAGTGGTAGAAGATCCTGAGGAATGTCTTAAAGAAGTGGAAGTCTGCTCAGATAGTGGCCTCCAAAGTATATCTCAGCATGAGGAAGGGACAGAGTGGGACTGAGAATGGGCCAGCTGACATGTTTGAGTTGGTAGAAAAAGGCTGAATGCTTGTAGGTGGGAGAAGACCAAAACGGGGGATAAAACTATAGAATGTGTCAACTAACTGGGATATCCATGAATAAGAAATATATATTTAGTAAAGAAATTGGTAATGACCAATTTTGATGTATGCTGTATTACTTTCTTAGTGATGCAGAAGTAAACAAGAAAGAAAGAAAGAAAGAGAAAGAAAGAAAGAAAGAAAGAGAGAGGAAGGAAGGAAGGGAGGGAGGGGGGAGGAAGGAAGGAGGAAGGGAGGGAGGAAGGAAGAGACAGACAAGACTGTTGGGTTAAGAAGAAAATTAATGCTTAGAAAAACCAGCAATCGCATTTGCCAACGTAGAGATTACCTAAAAACAAACAAATGAACAAAAACCCCGAACCCCAGGCTACTTGGCAAATGATCATGGTAAAGTGAACAGTGATAAATCCCAGGGAGTGACCTCCGTGCCTCTCACTGAGGTAATCAAATTGTTGAACCCTTACTGATCTCCTGGATCTCCAACCCAGGAATCCTGCAAGTCAAGGAGGCACAGGGTCAGAGAGAATCGCGGGGACACAGGGCAGCATGGGGCCAGAGGGCCACAGGTGTTAGGCCCCGGGGTCTGTAAGTGAGCACTGTTCTATCCTGGTAATGAATCATTCTATACTGCTAGAACTCACGTTCACTCTGGTGGGGAATAGCATCTATGGGATTGCCGAATTTACTCATCAAGTGAGAATTACTTACTAAGAGGAATTAGGAAATGAATTTACACATGGAATAGAAAGTTAGCTTTCTAATCCATATACCTGTTCAGTCATGATTTCTACAACTCATGGACAGTATCAGTTGTAAAATAAAGAATCACCTGGCACTGTCTTTGGTACCTCTTCAGTTCTTGTAAGAGCTTCTGATTTTCATCTTGTAACTTATTCCTGCTTAATGCTATTTCACTCACAGCTGACTTTAGTTTTTCAATAATGAACTCATCTCTTTCACTGGCTTCGCAACTGTGATCCAGGTCACACATCAACTGAGGATCTTCTGAGCTGCTGTCTTCTGTGCACTGTTTTTTACCACTGAGTTGAGTTTGGTAACTTTGTGCCTGTTTCTGAGAAAAATTAAGACTGTGTCGATGAAACGGAGAACATTGTATTTAAGCTTCCATAAACAACATTCAAGAATGACAGAAAAGACTTGGGAGAAATATTTTTCAATATGTTTATAATGGAGCTTCGCTCTCTGTAATTCAGTCTTGTGTTTTTTTCTAAAACCTCAATTTCGGATGATGTAAAGAGAAAATATATTTGTAGAACCTCAGAGCAGACATAGAGTAGGGGAGGGGGCTTAGAGTAGGGAAATCTTATTAAGCAAGAAAAAATGTTCAGAAGAGGAAAATCGTGGATACAATTACACAATAGTTGAAAAGGTCTATAGGATGAAAAATAAAATTAAAGACAGATTGTAGGAAAGAGTTGTCAACACATATAACAAGGGTTAATAATTCTTAATGTACAAAAACTTCTACACATTCATAAGAAAAAGAGAAACAACACAAAAGAAGAATTGGCAAAATTTATAAACAGGCAATTCACAGAAAAGGAAATGGAAAAGACTAAGAAGGATAGGAGAGATGCTCTTACAAGTAGTCAGAGAAATGCAAAACAAATCAAGCCATTCTGCTATCAGTCCAAGTTGGTAAAAATCAAAAGACTGATAACATTCCATGTTGGTGAAAGTACGAGTACCCCATAGACTGTTCATGAATGGAAATTACTATAACCTTTTGGGAAGTAATATGCTAGCTAGTGTTTATTTAAAAAATTTGAATGGACATAATACTCTTTGGCTCAAGAATCATTTCTAGGATTTTTAATTTAACAAAAGAAAAATAGTAACATTTGAAGATGTATGTACAAGGATATTTATTACAGTATTATAATAGCAAAAAAACTAGAAACAACTTGAATGTTCATCAATAAGGAAATGATTGGAAGAATTAAGGTATAGGTACAATGTACTATGATATATATGGTAATAGAAACAAAATTCTATTAAATATTATGCAGAATTAGGTAATGACTTGAAAGAATATTCATGAGGAAGGATAATTATTAAGTAAAACAACAAAATTTTAAAAAGGAAAAAATATACAACTTCCCCCAAATACATACTTTACATGTTTGTACAAACAAAAGAAAAAGTATGGAAAGAAAAACACCTATTTTGTATTAAATTGATAAGAATGGAGAAGACGCTATTAATTTTACATTGGATTATTTTGTATTGTTAGATTCAGAGAACATATATAACTTAGGTAATTTAAGTAACGTAAAGAATGAAAAATAAGAAACAAAACCCAAATCAAACAAAAACCATAATTTCTCACTGGCGTTAATAAAAATTCCAAATGCCTTGGCCGAGACTTTAAGGCTTATTATAATCTGTATTCAACTCACCAGGCTTACCATCTCCTACCGTTCCTTGCTTTCCACAGGGACTCCCAACCAATTGGCCCATTTTCTAAACCCAGAATTTGCCTTTTGCTCTCTTGCTTCAGTGATTTTGCTCCTGGTACTTCCACCACCCAAAATACAGTCTCAAAATACATCCATTCTTCAAGGGCCAGCCCCAGTCCTACTCCTGCTGGAGGATATTTCCTCACTATCTCAGCCCAAATTTTTCCCTTACTCCTCTGAACTCTAAAAGGATATCCCATTTGCTTGCCATTAATTATCTGTAAATATGGACATGTGTTATCTCTACCTCTAAGCTGTAAGGTTCTTGAGGTCAGGAACCAAGCAATCTTAGACTTTCTAAGCAACTAGCCCATAGACATGCAAAAACATACATTATTTAATGATATAATAACAACGGTCACTTTTAAAAGTACCATCCTTTGAGGCATGTAGACTAAATTCACCATTACAAATTTTCATGCACTTGCGACTTTACCCAGTGTTAGACCTACTCTGGTTATTTTCCCTTGGTTGGCATTTCCATCTGCAATAAGATTGATTATAAAGATAGTAATAGTTAACCTCTGATTTTTTCTAAGAGGATAGTATTAGGTAATGTACCTGAAATTGATTACACTTCTCAGATAATAATTTTTGTTGAGCATCTAAAGAAACCAGATGAGTCTGATACAGTATCTCTTGCTTGTCCCATTCTCTTGACTTTGCTCTAAATTCCTTTTAAAAAAGTGGAGGGACAAACATAAATTGAAGAAAATTATTCACTTAAAAACACAATGACTAAGGCTTCTTTCATTTGTACATCTTCACTCTAAACAACTACATTCATTCTTTCCCCATTTGGAAAACAAAATAAATATTAAATCACTCATCTTGGATTTATTACTAGATAACAGCTTCTGATTCTTGTCACCAAACCTATATCCTTAATTTTGTTTGTTTTTATGGGATAAGGCTTTGACTGATTTGGTGACTTTGTCCCCTTGTGGTTTTCAAAGCTACTGTCCAAGGTAAAGCCAAAATCAACTCATTCTGGGGAACAGAACAACTATCTAATTTAGGCCTAATTTAGGATACCAGCAGAGCTACCCTGGGGAAGAAGTGGTGGAATGAGCTTGATACAACATACTCGGTTCTACAAGTTTTTGTTCAAAGTAGTATATTTGTAGAACATGAATGTTCACAACTTAACACAAGGAAAGGATATGGTTTTGGGAATTAATCATTCAAGGAAGGCTATAAATTAAGGAGGCCCCTTACAGTAATTAAAGATGACCTAAAATTGAGTGGTGGTCATAAGGTTGGAAAAATGTGGCTAGGCCCCTTTTAAATATATGATAATACCTTATGATAAATAGACCATATTTATTAAGATAAATGGAAACAGTTCATATAAAGTTATTGACTTGATTCTGACATTCAACAATTTAAAATTAGGTACACGAAAACAGGGTCTTCAATAATAGTGACAAATTTACAAAACTAGGCTCTTGTACAAAATAGCTAATATTTCAAATTAGTACAATGCAGATTTTTAAAATTCCTGTTTACTTTTAATTTTGGAGGGAGTCTTTGGAGTCAGAATTCAAAATATGGGCAAGGTTGACTTACATGGTTCATATCTTTCAGTTAATACTAATATTTAGCAACACCCACCCAGCAATCTCAATCTTGAAAATAAGTATTTCCCAGCATGCTTTAAGAGGAGGCAGGAGCAGTAACCTCAATTCTTTACAAATTCTACAACAGGTAGAAATGAGGTCAAGAATGAGGCCAAGCAGGCTAGAAATATGGGTCACAGACATATCAGCAATGCTCACAACAGTCCTGGCTTTCTTGATCTTACAGATGTATTGGTTTCAAGACTGGTTTCAAGCCAGCACAATATATCCAGTAGTTATGGGACCATATAGAGACCTAGGGACCTTTAGGAGGATTTTTGTAGAGACAAGTTTGTCCCCCGCCAGGTTCCGGAGAGTCTGTAGACTTGCCTAAACCTCCAGAGTAAGTTCTCCATGGCTGGAAAAGGTTTTCTGGGTCTTCAAGGTTGAGAGTGGGTCAGGGTCATTAAGATTAGAGTTTCTAGGGGAAGTCCATTACTACATACGTTTTTTAATCCCTTTACTAAATACTGGAAGATGGAACTAACTTTTCTTTAGTGATGGTTCTATGTCAGGGACTCTACAAACCTCCACCTGTAAGATGGCTTTAACTTTTTAGTATGAACATTTCACACTTACATAAAAGTAGAGATTTAAAAAACTCCCGTGTACCCTTCGCCCAGTCTGACCACCATCAACCTAACCATCTCCATTCTGCCTCTCTCGCCACCCTTTCTTTGTTGGACTAATTTAAGGCAACTTCCAGACCTCATGTATTCTCACCCGTAAATGTTTTAGTGTGCATCTAAATGTATACATATGTGTATTTTTTCTCCCATAACCACAATGTCACCTATAAGGTATTTTAACCCCATTTATTGGTGAAAAATGAAATCTCTGTGAGACTAACAACTTGCCTGTAGGTCACAAGGCAAATAAATGAGACAGTCAGGAAGTGTTTTAAATTATAAACTGTCATGTTCTTCCACATCAACATGATATTTCGCACTTCTCTATTACTATACCAATGAATAAACATTTGTCCCAAAGGAAAAACATGCTTAGATGTAGACTAAAACTGGGACAGCCCATCTCTTACACATTAATTTTTCATATGGCTCTAAGTAAAAACAGGTACATGAAGTGTCTCCATAATTATACAGATTACACTACCTACACAGTGTGCTTAAAAATTATTATATAAGTACAAACCTATCAGGTTATATATATCTATATCCATAGAGATTTTTCTGTTTTTTGTTTTTGTTTTTGTCTTAGAGAGAGATAGAGCATAAGCAGGAGAGGAGGGGCAGGGCAGAGGCAGAGGGAGAGAGAGAATCTCAAGCAGCCTCCATGCCTAGCATGGAGCCTGACATGGGGCTCGATCTCATGACCCTGATATCATGACCTGAGCCGAAATCAAGAATCGGACGCTTAATCGACTGAACCACCCAGGTGCCCCAGCTCATATTTTGCTACTAATTTCATCTATAAATTCATGAAATCTATTTTATGTAAATATTTCATTCCCTAAATATAAAAGTGTTCACAAAAAGTATTTAATATTACTTTCAGGACTTTTTTTTTTTTTGGCTGTACAATTTACATGACTGTGGTTGTCCCATAAAACCCCATGAGAAGTCAATCAAAAGGCTAATCGGTGACTTGATCTCTGCATTTTCAGTGAAAGCATATACATTACAGTGCACATCTTTGAGCATCTTCTATGAGACCAGGATATTTCTGAAGCCAGTCTGGTCACACCATCATAAGAGCCAGGTGGTTACACATGGTGCATTTTCCTGTAGAGTCAATTTTACTAAGCAGTAGTAATTTTGTATTTAAAAAAAAACCAACATATTATTCAGTAGAATACAGGAATTTAAAAGCTAAAACCCAAGCCTTCCAGCAAAGTTCTTGCAACAGGCTGGTTTTAGGACTATGATCCTAGATTTTCTTTCTTCTTTTAAAGATATTTTGGAGGGAAAGTTTGAGAAGGTCTGTGAATTGAAGAGTAAAATGATGAAAATCAAACGGGGCAACGACAATTAGATAGGAGGAAGGAGATAAGAGGCAGGACACCAGGGAAAGGGGCAAATCTGGGCTGGAATATGAGGAGTAAGAGAAAGGAACTGATCAAAGATTCCTAAGTATCTACCTGGGTGACTGGGAGAGGCCAACCATTATCTGTCGGAGAAGTAGAAGAAAGGGAACTTGGGGCACCTGGGTGGCTCAGTTGTTGGGCATGTGCCTTCGGCTCGGGTCGTGATCCCAGGGTACTGGGATCGAGCCCCGCATGGGGCTCCCTGCTCAGCGGGAAGCCTGCTTCTCCCTCTCCCACTCCCCCTGCTTGTGTTCTCTCTCTTGCTGTTTCTTCCTCTGTCAAAAAATAAATAAAAAATCTTAAAAAGAAGAAAGGGAACTCATTGGCTGGGGATGGTGAGAGGGATGCTGGGATTTAGGGCTTGAGAACAAAAGAAGGAACGGAGTGGGCTAACTTGAGGTCAATTAATGAACAATAATGGAAGTCCTAGTAACTGGGCTCAGGTTAGAGAACAGAAATTTATAGTAGAATCTATCTGCTGTTACATGACTTCTACCAGGAGTGCTCAAGAGCACTGGGACGAAAAATAGCAGGTTTGTTTTTGCCAAGGTTGGGAAGTTAAGGGATAAAAATAAGTGCATCTGTGAATAGTAAGCCTTTTTAGGGACACAGATCTCAGAAGCTCTGGGTGATATATGGTGGCTCTCTTGGAGTGGCACTACCTCTTTAAGAAAAAAACCCTGAAACGCCAAGCCCTGTTCCAAAAACTGTTATGAGGCTTCGTTGGGATTTAAGTACCTAATAGTTAAATAGCCATTAAAAGATTTATTAGATATTCAATTTAACAGACCCCAGGGATATCCTTCAATTTCACTCAACATCTGCAGTTTCTTTGAACTCTATTTTTTTTTTTTTGGGCTCTCCAAAATGCTGATCTGTATAAAAGATGCATAAATCAAAGTGATGTTTTAATTCGCTAAGTGCCTAAAGGGAAGGTGCAGTAAGAAAATACAGTGAATGAGAAGCTGATTTGTAATGGTGTTTGTTACCACAGCTGTGCGTGCCATGGTGCGCGGCGGAGACAGCCAGTCCACCACAGCTGCAGAAATCAACCCTGACCACGCATGAAAGACACTAAGAAAGTACAGACGGCTCACCTCTAATTTCTGGTTCAAATTGCTCATTTCAAAGGGTGTTTCTTCTTTGAGGTGTGGTAACTCCTTTCGCCGAACTTTACTTTGTTTCATCTGGTGCAGTCTCAGTTTCTCAAAGCTATTCGTCAGTTTGGAAAACTGGAAGTAAGAGAGAAGGCTAACGTCTCACTGTGGCTGGTGCTTCTGACTCGAATTCACAAGAGTTCTTTTCTTGGGCACCTCTTTGAAGATTTAAGTCATGATTGGAAAATGCGGTAATGCTTAAATGTTCTGATTAGTAAAGACAGGACCAGTTATTAAAACTAAATTATTGAAGCTGAACACCATTCGGTTTTCATGTAAATTTGGGACTTCACTAACTGCACAGTTAAATGATTCACTCGATAAATATTTTGTTTAGCTTTGTCTTAACCGTATGTAGCAAAGCTTACAAGTTTTAAAAACCAAGTTTTTTTCTTTTATTTAGTGCCATCTTGTGTTGACAATTTTAATTTCAGTAACTCCTTCTATAAAATAACAAGTGTATATTTTATTGAAGAAAACTGAATACTGAATTTAAAAGATACAAACAGCATAAACTACTTATTCATGTTGATATGAGTTTAAATAAATTTAAGTATCAAATTGATACAATCTTTTTCTTACCAATAGTTCTTTTTTTTTTAAGATTTTATTTTTATTTATTTGACAGACAGAGAGATAGCAAGAACAGGATCACAAGCAGGGGGAGTGGGAGAGGGAGAAGCGGGCCTCCCGCTGAGCAGGGAGCCCGATGCGGGGCTCAATCCCAGGACCCTGGGATCATGACCTGAGCCGAAGGCAGACGCTTAATGACTGAGCCACCCAAGTGCCCCTTTCCAATAATTCTTTTAACTTAGACTCAGTACTATTTTGTCTGTTTCTTGTTCAAATAATAAATTAAAAGCAGCTTGGTCTATCAACATCTGTGAAGAAATTTCTAGATAACTATTTATAAAAGTTCTTTGGTTTTATTTTGAATTTTGAAATAATTATACAGTATACTTATACGGTATAATATTAAACCCAGGAAATTGACATTGGTACAATATATGTGCATAGTTTTATGCCACCTTATCACATATGTAGATTTGTGTGACCACAACCACAATCAAGATACAGAACCATTCCAAACAGCACAAAGACCTCCCTGCCTTTGTAGTGACACTCATACCTCTCATCTTCCCACCCCTAACCCCTGGCAACTACTAATTTGTTTCTATCTCTATAATTTTGTCATTTGAGAATGTTATAAAATGGAATCAAATTTTGACATTTTGAGATTGGCTTTTTTCAGTCAGCATAATGCCCTGAAGATGCATGCTTCTATCAATAGTTCATTCCTTTTTATTGCTCAGTATTATTCCATGCTTTGGATGGAACCACAGTTTCCTTGACCATTCATATACTCAGACATTTTGGTTATTTCCAGTTTTTGGCTACCACAAATAAAGCTATGAATGATCGTGCCTACTTATCTAATATTAGTCACTTGCTTTCTTTTTCTCATATTATTTTAAAATGGAGATATAGAGTGCCAAACTGTGGAAAGAGCCAAGATGTCCATCGACAGACAAATGGATAAAGAAGATGTGGTATATATATATACAATGGAATATTATGCAGCCATCAAAAGGAATGAGATCTTGCCATTTGCAATGACGTGGATGGAACTGGAGGGTATTATGCTGAGCGA